GTATAATCTATACATAGAAGCTGAAAAAGTGTCGACGTCTCTGTTGAGCTGATGCACGCTTTTTTTTCTGAAATGATTGAATTCTTTCTAACAAATGTTTTTCTTCTCTGTTGCACCATAATTGCTGCATCATGACTGAAGTCGTTTTTGGTTCCCGTCGTTGGTCGGCTCCTGTCATTTGCTGCTACATTTTTAGAAAATGGCGACAGCAGCAGAGACCAATTTTGTTCATTGTAAACATTTCTGAACTCTGGAGGCTTCTAAAGTCTGAGAATACTAAAGATTATCCCAGAACAAAAAGGTAGTTTATACATAGCAGAGCTTTAATGGCAGACTACAGAAGCACAGTGGATGAGCTCCTGAAAAGAAAACACACAGGAGGCACCTTACTCTGCTTCACTAACACAATCTGCTGTTTCTATTGTCAGTAAGCATAACGAGTATAAAACAGTGACTGAAAGGCACCCAGTATGACCACTGGTTAACCAGCTGTCACTTCCAAGATGCTGCTCTGCAGTGAAATCCTCATATTAGAACCACAACATTGTCTGAAAAACTCCCCATGAGTTACGTGAGTTAAAAATGACTGCTGTGACTTCAGCCACGGGAACATAGATTTTAAAGCTACGACCAGAGTCAGAGAACAGTTAAGGTACTTTGTCTCTGAAACGTATCTGTTTTGTTCTGTGTTCAGACTGTGGGACTGCAGGTTGTCAGAGATCAGCTGTGATTCTCTGAACTCAGCTCTGAAGTCCAACCCCTCCCATCTGAAACATCTGGAGCTGAGTCTCAACCAGCTGAAGGATTCAGGAGTGAAGCATCTGTGTGGTTTTCTGGAGAATCCACACTGTAAACTGGAGACTCTGAGGTCAGTTCACTGTCTGTCTGTTACTGTTGGAGATCTTAAATGTTTAATGACAACTGAAGCTCATTTATGTTCAAACAGAACTTCCATCAATGAATCTGTCAATCTGCTGTGGTTCATATTTTCTTTGTGCTAAGGAGTCACATCTGGATACAGAATAACCTCAATGACAGAAGGACAAAGTCACTGCTGATTTTAGATAATCGTTGATGAGGACAAAGTCATGTTGATTTGCACATTCACAACCTGAACACATCTGATGGATCACCAACGATTTTATTGACATCATTATTCTTTATTCAGATTGGAGAACTGCAGGTTGTCAGAGATCAGCTGTGATTCTCTGAACTCAGCTCTGAAGTCCAACCCCTCCCATCTGAAACATCTGGAGCTGAGCTGCAACCAGCTACAGGATTCAGGAGTGAAGCATCTGTGTGGTTTTCTGGAGAATCCA